AGTGTGGAATTTTTCATTTGTGGTGCACAAAAAGTTTTGGATTTTGGAGCATTTTGGATTTCAGATTTTTGGACTAGGGGTGTTCAACCTGTATTCCTATACTGTGATCACCATAAGAAGAAAACAAATCCAGCCCCTGCCTCTTTATTTTGTGAAAAATGTAAGAGTGTGAAGAGTGGGCTGAAAGTCTGAGAACTGTCACAGCCAAGAGGAAGCCTTGGGACACATGACAACTAACTAGAGTGTGGGACCCTGGGACAGAAAGGGGGCATTAGGGGAAAACCAAGAACACCTGAATTAAGTGTGAGCTTTAGTTAATAATGTATAGGTGTTGGTTCATTAAGTGAGACAAATCTGCCATACTAATGTATGTTGTTAATGATGGAAGCCACTACAATGGTTCTGGAAAATAAGCTTTATTTTTTAAAAATCAAGCACAGATGCTAGAAACTTCTAATTTCTCATTCTGTTTTCATGAATGAGAGGGAAGATTTCTTTAAAAGAATCATACATTTGGAATAAATATTAGCATTTATCTTTGTACAAAATCATTTGTAGAGGTGTCTGTAGTCATTAAGCTCACAGTAGCCCATGTCCCCTCTCCTGCATGGGCCTCTCTGCTGGCGAGGTGGGTGAAGGTTCCTGTCCCCAGGCCTGGTCACAAGGGGGGCTTTCTGTAATTTCCTCTCCCATTAAGTAGGAAAGTACTCAAACTTTTTAAACAGGGGGCCAGTTCACTGTCTCTCAGACCGTTGGAGGGCTTGGGGAGTGCGGCACACACTCCACACATGCGCACTGTGGGCCCAGGATGAGTCGGCTGCTAAGCAGGACAGGCAGCGGTGGCAAAAACACCTGGCAGGCCAGATAAATGTCCTCAGTGGGCCGCATGTGGCCCGCCCACGGGCCGTAGTTTGAGGACCCCTGGTCTAAAGCATAGACATAATGCTTAGGAATGTAGGCATAAACTATGTAAATCTGGACTAAAATGGTTTTGGCAGCCCAATCATACTTGAACGTTATGAGACCTGGATAATGTGGAATATATTTTTTAAATCACTGTGTTTCCTGTTTTAACCTTGCATGTTTCAAAATTAGGCAGGGAATCATGAATAATAAGGTGATAAGAAAAAAGGTCAGATATTGATTAATGGAGCTGAATTCATTTTTCAGAATTAAGGAAGCTCATGACAGGTATATTTTGATGTGTTTATAGAGTGGATGTTTAAATTATAAAAGTTACAACAACTTTGATGGTTGTGGGAAAAAAATAGCAAGGCCTAATAAATCCCTAAAAATGGTGACTGTTAGCTGTCTGCTTTGGGAGCAGTGGGTGTGCATTGTCTGAAAATACCTTGCTCACTCTTCTATTTCAAAAGAGGCCAAGTTTCCCCAAAGGCATCAAGGTTCATTTTCATAGATAGGTATTTTTCTTCCACTGCTGTTGTTTTTCTCTTTGCCCCGTTACTGGGATGTCTTCTGGGTTGGCAGAAGGCAGCGTTGCTTCTAAGTCTGGGAGAGTTATTTGGGATTTCACTTGTTTACAGTTAACATTGTAATAAAATTGGCTCATTAAATGGACAGTGATTCCTCCAAACGATGGCAGTGGCATCACTTGACATTCACAGCCTTCTCCCCAGCGCGATCAATGTCTAAGACGCCAACAAGAGAGCTGAGGAAGGTTAGGAAAATGTGTACTCTCGTGGCTTGAGTGGTAGATTATGTGTAAAATAGTATTTCCCAGCTCTTAGCTAAAGCAACTGTGTCACCTATTCTATTTTTTCTGTAAAACTTCCCAGACACTAATGAGTTGTGTTGACTTACAGTCTAGTCGTTGGAATGTTCGTGTGTCCAGGCATTTCACACACGCAAATGAGTTGCTCAATGACGGACTCCTGAAAACTGGTTGATAAACGTTTTAGGGAATTTTTCTTACATGGTTGTTTAATTTTGAGGGTAGTCTGATCCTGGCAGTTCAGATGAATTAATGGTAGGCTATTCACTTTAAAAAATAATAGGAAGGTGCAGCAGAGAAGGGTAGATTCTCATTACTATCAACATAAAGTATTTCTTTTTATTAAGAATGGCTATGTGCTAATAAATCCTGTTGAGGATGCAGTAAAAATAAGGTTCACTTAAGAAAACTGTGTGTGTCTCACACCCCACAGGGCGGCTACTCTCAAAAAACCAGAAAATAACAAATGTTGACAAGGATGTGGAGAAATTGGAACCCATGTGCACTGTTGGGATTGTAGATGCAGCTGCTATGAAAAATATTATGGCAGTTACCCCAAAAATTGAATGTGTAATTACCATAGGACCAGCAGTTCCACTTCTGAGTATATACCCAGGAGAAATGAAGGCAGGGACTTGAAGAGATACTTGCGCACCCACATTCATAGCCTTATTCACAATAGCCAAAAGGTAGAAGCAACTCAGATGTCTACTGGTGGGTGAGTGGATCAACAAAACATGGTATATGCATGCATTTGAACATTATTCAGCCTTCAAAAGGAAAGTCTGGCACATGCTACAATGTGATGAACTTTGAAGACATCATGCTAAGTGTAATAAGCCAGTGACAAATAAGTGGTTCCACTTATGAAGTGTACCTGATGTTGTCATATTCATAGAGACAGAGAGGAGTAGTGGTTCCCAGAGCCTGAGGAAGGAGAGGGAGAAATTGAGAGTTGGTGCTCAGTGGGTACAGGGTTTCAGTTTTGCAAGACGAAAATAGTTGTGGAGATGGATGGTGGTGATGGTTGCACGACAGTGTGAATGTAATTAATGCCACTGGACTGTACACTTAAAAATTGTTAAAATGGTAAACTGTATGTTATGTGTATTTTGCAACAATTAAAAAAATGGTGTGGGATCTTGTTAGCTTGAACTCCTGCCGAATAGTAGTTGCTGGAATCACTTTTTAAACAGTGGCGAATGTTGCTCTGGGGTCCTGGCTGGAGTTAGTGGGTAGGTGGAAATGTGGGTGTGCTGTGAAGCTAGCAGCCCTGAAAACAGAGATCTGGGAGCAAGAGCCCTGTGGCCAGTGGGAGGTGGATGAGCTGGCAGGGGCTTCAGGGAGGAGAGAGGGGGCAGGGGAGGAGTTGCCGGATGATCACCCATCCCCAGGTACTTGAGTGCATTTTTTCATTGGCTGGTTCTCTGGAAGAAACACCAATAAATACTTCAAATTTCTGTTTTCTAATAACTTGGCCACACCTCCTTGTGTGTAAAATGTATTCTAGTAAGTGCTGTGGACACATGAAAAACCTCTCTAGGCTGGATACAAGCCAGTAGCAGTAGTATAAGCCTTCGTGGGGACATTTGAAAAAGGGGGCTGGGATTACACCCAAGACCCACTGGGGTTCTCTTTTGAAACCTCCTAAACAGAGTTCATAGTATTGTGGCACTCCAACTTTAGGGCACTGCCTTTGACCATTGGCAAGTCATTTTGTTTTATAAGTTTTCTCTCTTTTTTTTTTTTAAATGACATAATCCAATGCAAATATGTTCCTGAGTCCCTATAAATGTCATCTTCAAGTGCCATGAGCCAGGTCAGTCATTTGGCTTTCTGTGGATGTGAGTAGAGTGGTAACAGTGATCACGTGCCCACACGGCCAGGGGTTCGGGCACTTCCTGTGTACTGTCTGATTCAGTCGTCACAGAAGCTCTGACCCCATCTGCAAACACAGAAACGGAGGTCAGAGTGGTTAGACACCTTCCCCCAAGATGGCCCAGTGGTTGCCATGAGGCTGGCTTTCTTTCAAACCCTGACCTCCAGCCAGAGAGGGTCATTCACAGAAGTGGTCATATCATTGCCCACAGAGGAAACCTCCACAGTTTCAAAGGTGTAGAGCCTTTATAAGCAGCGGACTTTGGCCATTATTGAGTAAAACCAGAAGACAAATCATAAAAGAGAGCCTCTCCGAAATAACCTATTGAGCAAGGGTCTTACTCATTTGAAGCTTCTGTGCAGTGACATTCAGCCGGGCTTGGTAGGAACAGCAGCAGAGAAGGTGCTGATTTGCTCCTGATGATAGCAGTGCAAATGGCCTGCTACTCTCATTCGGCAGGAGACAGGACACAGGCCCTGAGCTCTTCAGCTCTGTGCTTGGGAATCAGGAAATGTTTCCTTTTCAACTCGTCTAGCTTTCCTTTATTCCTCCCTAATAAAAAACTAAAAAACAAGCCCTTCCTAAAACATGTTTGGAAGATTGGGACCTACTACTGTTTCTCCGTTTGTATTTTCATTTACCAGTTCATCTAAATGAAACTAAAATTCAGTTCTTGTTTATCAGCACCTACCTTCCCTTTGGGATTTGTTTTTTAAGCAATACAGCAAAATTCTGTCACCGGGTAACAGTACCAGGCAGTACATAATAATAAAGCCCGGGCTGTGTGATAAGACACTTGCAGTGGGTTTGAATCCCAGCTCGGGTACTCTGTAGCTTCGTGGACTTGGGTGAGTTATTTAATATCTCCCAGCCCCAGTTTCATCATTTAAAAAATATACCTATAGGTTATATCTGTTTCAGAGAGTTTCTATAAGCATTTGATGGACTAATACATACAAAATAGTATCGTATAGGCACAAGGTGATTGTTAGTTGCTGGTACTATAACTGTGCGCCCCCCAACCACTTGGGTGGCAGGATGTACTGGCACCTCTGTCTCTGTGTAGAAAAATACTGTTTATTTTCTCTTTTACAGGTAGTACAGTTTTGTGTCTTAGCTTGACTCTCACAGCTTAATTAACTTCCTGAGAGTTGGAACAGCCACCAGATTCCATATTGTGTCCTAGTTAAAGTAAAGTGTATTAGCTCTAATTAGTGATACTGCTTGTAAAAAAGCCACCAACTGGCCTTTCTGTCCCCCCACAGGATACCACAGGTTCCTGCCAACTCCTATCAGATTAGGTGGCATCTGGCAAGTCCATTATCTGCAGCACAACTTGAAAGTTTAATAAAGGACTTATAAGGTATGTTAGTTGCTTCTGAGACTGTTTCATGAGTAAGTCTTTTTAATGTAAGTATACTGTTTTTAAATATTTGCAAATACACCCCAAGAGAGGAAAACATTGTACTAAATGGGGGAAAACATAAATAGTACTCATCTTTTTTTGGACTGACCTGATCGTAATTACTCACTTCATTAGCTTTCCATTGCTGCTGTAGCAACTTGACCCTGAATCTCAGTGGTTTAAAACTGCACATATTTCTTATCTCACAGTTCTAGAGGTCAGAAGCCTGGCACGGGTCTGTCTCACTGGATGAAAATCAAGGTGTCGACAGGGCTGTGTTCCATTTAGAAGATTTGAGGGGGAGAATCTGTTTCCTTGTCTTTTTGCATTTCTAGAAACTGCCCTCACCCCTGAGGAGCACTGGAGCATTTCTAAATCTGACTCTTCTGCCTCCCTCTCCCACTTGCAGGGACCTCTGCGATTACACTGGGCCCGTCTGGATAATCCAGGATAATCTCCCATCTCAGGGGGAGCCGATTAGCAACCTTAATTCTGCTGCGCCATGTGGTCTAACACAGTCACAGCTTCCAAGTGGTAGCGTGTGTGCATCTTTGGTGGGCTCTTATTCTGCCTGCCACATCTACTAGAAGCCTTTATTGGAGTGACTTTCCATAAATTGGTCAATTGCATTTTCCCTCTGAAGACATGAGATAGTACAAGGAAAAAAATCCTAAAGACCCATAGTGAAGTAGGTTATATTATTTGAATAATTCAGACTGTGTGTTGAAAACCAAGGTAGGGATGACAGTTTTTTCATATAGAAGAATTTTATTTTTAAATTTCTTCCCCTACCTGGTTAACACTCTAGACCAGTTATTTTCTCATAGGTACATACTATTTTGGTATGTCTCTATACACATGTGAACATATGTATTTTTCTGAAATTTCAAGTTACTATCCTAAGAAATAACATGTTAGACTTGCTTTGTGCATATATTTTGAATTAAGTTTAAGAAAGCATATTCCTTCTATCTAATGTTTATATTGCAAAGTAGGGTTGGCAATTTTTTAAAGCTGCTTGACTTTGGTTGTCTTTGTAGTGGACTAAATTGGTTAGTCAGTAGAAGGGTGAATGAGGCAGGTCCGTGTTAGCCTTGCACCCTCAGTCTGCCTTCTCCAGTAGCTATCCATTAGGCCAGGTGGCTGAAGCCTGAACAGCCATTGTCAACACACGACAGGGCCCCTTAGACAAGAAATAAGGAAACAGGTCACCTCAGGTGTGCTAAATGCTCTTTAGCAAGTAAAACAAGAGGGTCAGGACAGTGTTACTGACATCAGTGGGCATCTCTGAGGAGGTGGCACTTGTGGTTGGGCTAATGTCACAGGAGAGCTGACACTGGGTGTTTCTTGCTCACCAAGGACCCCAGTGTCCTGAAAAGGCTCAGTAAATCCTAGCTGAATGAAGGGAGGGGTGGGTAGAACATGACCCCACCTTACAAGGATGAAGTAAGTGTTCATCACTACTGTCCTTACTGTTTTTGAGTCTCTCTCATGCTGGGCAGCGGGCCTCAGGGCTTCCTTGACAAGCTCCTAAGTGAGATGTTATTACCCCAGGTTGTGGAAGAGGCAGCTGGGCTAAGGTGGCGTAGCAGGACTCTAGCCTGTGTAACACTAAACCCCACCCTCTTAAACACTACGTTATTGTGTTTCTCCTGAGCAAGTATTGTTACTCCCATTTTACAAAATAAGTTGAAGTCCAAGGTGAACATACAAATGGTTCAGCTAAGCTTGGAATCCCAAACACTAAACTCCAATCTTCTGTTTGCTGTTAAGCCTGGGTGATTCAGCTTGGTCCCTGTGACCGCTTTGGATATATCTTGGACCATTTTTGAGTGTTGTAGGAACTCTGATCTTGTGAGGAGTATGTAACCCAGCAAGGTGCAATTAATAGGACTGTTTTTAAAGAAAATTGGGTCCTAGACTAGGATTGCTGTTATGATAGGCGTTAGTGAAAACTATAGAGCCAAGGAAGTTTTTATACCTGTTCCATTCATTTTTAAATCTTCTTCTACGTAAGGCTTGAAAAAGCAGACTAACTTACAAGGTCCTCTGAGAGCTGCTTTTTCAGTGTAATGGGCTTCTTGCTAAGCTCTATTCTAGAGCAATCACATGACATGCAAGATGTGATCCTGCTACATAATATCAAATTTATAACTCCTCTCTCTGTGGGCCAGACCTGGGTGATAAACTTAACTGGCTGTAGTTAATGAAGGTTAAAAATTAAGTTTCCTTGAACTGCTAAGCTAAATAGAATAAATGTACATTATTCCTTAGATCAGACCTCTATCTTGATTCTGTCTTAGACTAAATCAAAACACCATCTCTGATTTAAAATTTCAGTAGTCAGTTGGTTAGAATGTACTTTCCCAGAGTTTCTTCTGTTGAGGCTTTCCCATGTTGGAAATTTGTTCAGTCTGTATGTCTAATTTTATTGTGAAATAGCAGTTCCTCTCCAGGCTCTTCTTGTTGTAATCTATCCTACACCATAGCAAGTTATCCTTAACTGAAAATAACCATGTGCGCCTGCAGGGCCTCTAAGAATCAGCTTCCTAAAGCCTCAGGTGCAACCTCAACTCATGGCCAAGGCCTTCCAGAATGGGCTTCCAGCTGGCCTCCCCCACATCTGCTGGCCAAGAGAAGAAAGGTTAGGTAGGTATCTGTGAGGAGAGTGCCCCGTCACTCCAAGGATAGCGGCCCTGCTGCTGCATTCAAGAGGAAGTTGTTATTTTGTCTCTGTGTACACACAGAGTAAGAAACCAAACATGTTCCTCCTTCACTGAGGAGAGGTGGGCAGCTAAGTCAGTCTCCTTGGCTAAGAGCTGAGCTTTCTAAGGGTTTGGAAAGTATGGCTTCCAGGGTTCCTGGAGTTCAGAAGTATGTTTAGGGATTGGTTGATCTTCAACTGTGAATGTGCAGTTACTCCAATGGGACTGTCATTGATTGGCTAGCATTTAGGATCCCTGGAGTGAGGCAGTTGGTGATTAGCTGGCACTCAGGAGCACTGGAGTGAAGCAGTTGGTGATTGGTGGACTTCACTGGAGTGAGGTGGCCATTGATTGGCCCTCTGAAGCAACCTCACCGAGGCAGTTGTTGATTGGCTGTTCTTCAGAAACTTTTTTTTTTAATGGGAGGTGATCATTAAGCAGTTAGAATAGGGTTGAATTGATTGCTATGGCCAATCAACAGGCAGTAAATAAGCCTGTCAAAATACAGACCACACATAAGACCCTCATCCACCCCCACACCTAGAAGTGAGCACATAAAAACAGTTTTGGGAGTTGACAGACCTGGGCTCAAATCCTGTCGTTAAACAAATCTCTTAATCTCTGTGCTCCTCAGTCTCCTAAAGGGTAACAGCTCTCTGAAAGGTGTATTCTCAAGATTAAACCAGTGGACATATGCTAAATGTCCATCATGTGCTCAGAGTTTACTCCCCAAACTGAACATTTATGTCCCATTGCAGTCCACAGAGCTCATGATGGTGACCCGGGAAAACATCTGAGAGGAGGCGTTTTGAGGCTCGGTTCCCTCTCACTTGGTTTTTCCCTTCCAAGGCCTGTCAGAATCTCTTGGCAAGCTGTAAAATGCTTGTGATGCACAGGCTTCACTCATAAAGATTATGATATGACTGGCTTGCGGCAGAGCTCAGGCAGTGGTATTTTTTAAAGCTCCTAAGTGGTGTTCGCTGTGGAAGGAAATGGATCGAGTCCAGCCAGCTCCTTACTTATCTGCTGTTCATGCAGGAGAAAATAAATAGCTTTGATTGGCCAGATCTTGATTGGTCTTAAGTGATGGCTGTTCTTGTTAAAACCTTATGGAAATTGTGTAATTAAAAAAAAACAAGGCTGGTATTCAAGTGGAATATTCTCTGAGCCCCATTCCTGTTACTGCTATTGTTCCTCTTGTTATTTTAAAAAGGAAACCTGCCTTTATGATGTTCAAAAGTCTAATCTGACATAAAGGTCAGGTTAGTGAACTCTCCATGGTATGGACTAAAAGTAGGTAACAAAATTGTCTTCAATTTTGAAATGAGCTTTGTGTAAACTGTATCCTCTTGGATATTGTGCACATTATGCATAAGGTTCACTAAGCATTTCCTCCTTCCCAAAAGGTTTGTTATCTCTAAATTTGGAAGTTAATTCATGAAAGAGGTAAGCATGTATTATTTATAAATTTGTTTAGCATCTAGTAGAAAGTATAATGTAATTTAAAAATGGTGTCATGCTTCCATGGAGTCAATGTGCATAGGTCCCCGCTGAAGCCATCCCCATTATATTTTGAGAACTTCTGTCTTTCAGGGAGGAAGGGAGTTTTAGTCCGAGATCTTATCATTCTTTTCTTCCTAGTTTTGGGAAAATGTCTAATCAGTTTCAGGACTGAATATTGAATTTTTCTGCTGAAAGAATACTGGTCCATCTTCTACCTAAAAAGGATGGAGCTGTCGAAATAGTTGATAACAATCAACTATTATTCAGGTGCACTTATCTATTTATTACTCCCAAAATTAACCTTACTAGATACATACTATATTTTTTATTGTCTTCATAAAACTTTTGTTTTGTTTTTACATTATGTTCACTTTTGATGTTGTACATTTTATAGGTCTTGACAAATGTATAATGACAGGTATCCACCATTATGGTATTAAACAGAGCAGTTCCACTGCCCTGAAAATTCTTTGCGTTCGCCTCTTCAACCAACCTCCCTTATCCCTTGCCCCTGGCAACCACTGACCTCCTTACTGTCTCCATAGATTTGCCTTTTCCAGAATGTCATATAGTTGAAATTGTTAAAGAAAAGATTATTCATGACGCTAGTTAAAGAACAGTAAGGCAGACTTTATTTAGAGGGACTATTGTAGTGGGGTTTGTAACAGAGGAAAGGGATTGGGTTCAACTCTGAATGCAACAAAGAAAAGTGGGAATTTATAGGCAAAGAGCAGGGTGAGGGGGTAGGTGGATGGAAAGTTACTAAGAGGGAACATTAGGGGGAAGAGGGATTCTGGCTAAACCTACCTAACAAGATTCTTGCTGCAGGCAGGCAGGTGAGCAGACACCCCTGGGGGGATGGTGGAAGGTGAGGGACCTGGTCAGATGCTGTGGATAGAGGATTCTGGTTAGACCAACATAGCAGGGCCTTTGCAAAGATTGGGCAATGCAGAGACAGCTACAGAAGTACAAAAGTCGAGGGCTAAGTGAGAAGAGGATTCAGAGGAGCCTAACTAAAGTTTGGTCAAGGACAGACTCTGTCAGAATCATACAGTTTGCAGCCTTTTCAGATTGGCTTCCTTCACTTGGTATTATGCATTTGAGGTTCCTCCATGTCTTTTCATGGCTTGATATGTCATTTGTTTTTAGTGCTGAATAATATTTCATTATCTGGATGTACCACAGTTTATCCATTCACCTTCCAAGTTTGGGCAATTATGAATAAAGCTGCCATATACATCCATGTATAGATTTTTGTGCGAATGTAAATTTTCAAGAATCATTTTATATTTACAGAAAAGTTGCCAAGGGTAGTACAGAGTGTTCCTGTATACTCTTTCCCCAATTTCCCCTAATGTTAATATCTTACATGAGTACAGTAACATCTCACTGGTGTATTGTCCAAACTAAGAGATTAACATTGGTATGTTGTTATTAACTAAGCTTTATTTCACTAGTGTTTTCTCAATTTCACCAGTGTTTTCTCAAATTTCCTTTTCACCAGTGTTTTTACCAGTGTTTTCTCAAATTTCCTTTTTCTGTTTCATGATCCAATCCAGTATACCACCTTGCATTTGGATGATGTGAATTTTAATTTTTAATTTATAGGAGTAGCTTGGGTGTGTTGTATTTATTTAATATCTTCACACAACTCAGCATATCCTGAGAAAATGAATGTAAACATATCAGCTATAAGGAGCCGGTATTCCTTAATCAAATGAACACATTTAATTATAATATCGTTGTTTAGAATTTTTTGTAAGTTTGTTTTTGTTTTTGATAGAGCTGGCAGAATTCCCAATGTACAACAAGCAGTAACATAGGATTTGTTTTATAAGGTTCCTGTTTCTAAACAAAATACTAAAGCTTGTTGAAAGAAGGTCATTTTTAAGGTTGAGCATTTCAAGACCCAGGAGAAAACCAGTTGCAGAGTTGTAATAAAAAGCTGTCAATGCCTAATTTTTCACGTTGGTGTAGAGGATGAAGTGGTCGAGTGGTTTTCTAATGAGCATCTCCAAATGTTTTGCTGGCAGAAGGACTCCATGAAAGATGACAGAAGAAGTTATTGTGATAGCCAAGTGGGACTACACTGCCCAGCAGGACCAGGAGCTGGACATCAAGAAGAACGAGCGCTTGTGGTTGCTGGACGACTCCAAGACGTGGTGGCGGGTGAGGAACGCAGCCAACAGGACGGGCTACGTGCCGTCCAACTACGTGGAGCGGAAGAACAGCCTGAAGAAGGGCTCCCTCGTGAAGAACCTCAAGGACACTCTAGGTGAGTGTCCACATGCTGCAGAGAGAGACAGCCTTGTGCATTTCAAGGGGGGCTGTTCATCTTTCTAGTTTGTTTGCTTTAAAAAAAAAAAAGCCTGTTTTCAATGCCGACATCTTCCTAGTTATTTTAAAAATCTCTGAGATTTAAGAGATCAAGATGGAGAAATGAGATGTTTGCCATTTCCTGGGGATTTCAGAGTTTGGGGTCTTTACGGAAGGCGACACTTCTGTGTGCTTTGGGCCCCTGCATCGGTGCCTGTCTCCTTGCAGCAAAACTCTAGAGGATCCTGAAGTGGAATTACCGCCTCCCAAAGCTCCTCCCCCAGGTCTGCTGCTGTCATGTTATCCTTTCTTACAAAATCCTGTCCATCTGCACAGAGAAGGAGACAGATAAAGCCTTTTTTCCCCTCTCTGAATTGGATGGCAGTTCACACCCCGTCCCAGACACTGTTAGCTAAGGGGCAGCCGTGTGATGTTAGAGGCTGCACAAGGTCACCCGGGTGCAGACCATTGACTGGCTTTGACCCCGCGTGCCTTTTTTCCCCTGGCGTCAGCACGTGGGAAATGCCACCATGAGTTACGTGAAGTTAGCGTATCCAGTCTTGCCTCTGTCCACATACTGGACTGACTTGCAGTAGTTACTGCTTCAGATTATCTGACAAAATAATTGTGAAGGCTTTTTCCCAGAATGACTTTCTGCGTTGACAGTTTACAGATTGTTGTTTCCTCCTTATATGAGCATAATGTTGTTTGTATCCAAGACTGCAGATTATCATGTAAGGGTTTTCTGTTGAAATAAGTCAATATTATCACCTATGCTTCATTTACTTAGGTTTTTTGTTTTTTTTTAAATTCCAAATAAGAGGATATGTTTTATTTTGGGGGAAGGGTGAGGAATATATGGGAAAACTGAAAAGTATACACCAAATGTGGTGGGTGTTACTAAACGTTCATCTTTCCTTTTATGTAATCTTGAAAAGTCTAAACTCTCTTCCAAATCACTTAAAGCCTTCACTTACTGGATAGTATTTGTGTTGTGGATTAGGTTATTCCCGTGATCTAGAGCAAGAAAAGAGACACAGGACTTTGTATGAGTGACATCAGGTCACTGGCCATTGTAGATTCTGAGCCTGTTGGAGAAATTCCATTTTTCCTTTAGTAATATGGTCCTTTTTTCCACTAAATTCTGTCCTTTTTATGTTTTTCTTCCCATATGCATGTCACTTGAAAGAAACACTGTGTCTTATGCTTATAATTCTTAATTGCCTGTGGTTTAAAAAAAAAAAAAGAGTAGCATGAATAGATAAATACTTTAATTGCCCTGAGCTTAATTTTATTTATTTTTCCAATTTCATCCTGTCATCTAAGTACCTACTTTTTAGTGATATTAAACATTGTTGACTTGTTCTGTTGGGCTTTTTGTGTGTGTGTCTCCTCCTCCCCCTCCTTTTTTTTTTTTTCCTGGTTTCTCAAGATTCTTATAAAGCATGAAATGTCCAGAAATTGGTGGGAAGTAGAATAAGACAAAGTAAGCACTCTGGGTTAACTGGAAATTCCCTAGAATACCTTGTAATTTTTTAGGAGAAAAGACAAAGCCACAAATAGAAACTATGAACTGCATCTTCCACCCAGTGTGTTCAATCCTCTCACGAGCTGTGCTCAGTTCAGGGAATTCACGTCCTTGCAGGTGCTCAGACTGGAGCCGCCAGCTCATCCTGGAGCCCAGGGCTGGGCCCACCGCCCCGTCCCTGCCAGATGGCCACCCGGCTCTGCTGGAACACTTCTGGAACACGTCGACTTCTAGAGTCAGCCAATTCCATTTTTGGAGAACACAGATTGTTAGAAAGCTCTTCCTTAAATAGAATCAGATTTTTACATTTCTTTAACTCTCTCCCTTCACTCTTACGTTGCCCTCTAGGGCTGCACTAAGGCCATCTGATCCTCTTCTGTACAGGGACAGCTCTCCTAGAGGCTTTGTTCTGTGGAAACATTTGTAGTAAGCATTATATATTGTAAAAAGACAGATAAAATTATGTCTTGAGCACCCATATTTAGTAATAGCAGTTGCTTTTCATAGCTGGCCCTTGGAGGTCAGTACCCCCCTTATCAGGCAAGAGTGCCTCCGTGTTTAGGGCGTCTTTGTTTGTTTTGGTGTGTTTGTCATGCTTACCCAAAGGCTTGCTTTTTGTTGGGCAAAGAGGGATCTTGTTAGCGTGAGTTTTCTGTTGCCCAGTTGAGCAGTATCAAATAGAAAAAAAGTCCCCTGATAGGAACTCGCCGTCATGCAGTGGCTTCTTTCTCCATAACCTAACTTACCTGCAAATCTCGTAGAGGTGGCATCATTCCCAAGAAGGAATGTGAGAAAATTTTCTGTAGCCCTTCCTGCCACCCACTAGTTTCTTTTGCTGAAAAGATGGGAGCCAAAGTGTTTGTGGCTTCGTATTTAACTGTCACCAGTGTGCTATCAGAATTACAGTATAATTTTAAACCAGTTGTGCAGCCAGCAGGAAATTATTTGTCATATATTAGGAGTGAAAACAACATTGAACAGTAGACTGCAGATGTTGACCTTCTAATAAAAAGTTGTGATATCATCCACATTTGTGATTTTTACTGCCATGGGAGTATACCTAATTTTTAAGTCCATGGTAAGATTTCCTTGGCAGACACCTGGTTTGGAATAAAATGGCACCAGACTCCTCTGCAAAGTGATGGTGTTATAAATGTGTGTTTACATCCCTAATTGCAGATAACCGTAACTGCATAGTGTCTCCTGCATGTCTATGCTCATTTGCTGTCGCCGAAATTGATAGTGAACTTAATTTTGTCACATACAGTACTTTGTAAGTATAACTTGGGGGAAAGGAGTGAGTAACTTCGACAAAAAGATCTCCCTCCTAGGAAAATATTCACATTCTTTCTTTTTGTCTAATAATTTATAATTGAATAAAGCAATATGAGCTCTTGTTTCCACACGGGCAAAACATATGCTGGATCTCCTCTCAGATTCAACTTACGATCATGAATAGTCAAAGAGAACTTTTCCACAGATAACAAGGAACAACTGTCAAGAACTGTTTTCTGCTGGCGGAATCCAGTTGATATTTTGAAGGGCTCAGACCGCATAACTCTGAGCCTGGCAGCAAGTGGTCCTGAGCTATGATCTGGCCTTGAAATTGCAACTCAACTTATAAAATCCTGCTGTTAGTTGTTGTAAAAGCACTGTGTCACATCTTTTGAGACCAGGAAGCTGCTCTCAGGTAGGTATTTTTCAAAGATTTTCCCTCAAGCTACTGAAGAATAGTTTTTTGTTACCACTTTTTGATACCAGCTGGAACCCTCCAAAGCCCGAAAGGTTAATTCTCTTTTCTCAATGGTTAACTTAGGTCCAAGTGCTGGCTCACCGTTACCCACAAAGTTCCAGTTCCATTTACAACCTGATCGTCTCCTCAGGAGGGTTTGTTCAGAGGCACAGCTGCTGGTTGCTAACCACCTCCCAGGGATCTCCAGACATGACCTGCCCCAGGGCTTGTTCCTCTGGCGTTTGTCCCAGTGTGGCCATACCTAAGGCCAGTTAGACACTTGCTAGTGATGAGCACCCAAACTCCTGCCACTGTGTCTCTTAAGCCAGACCTGAGCACACCAAGGGTGCTGAGAGGGGCTCCCTCGTGGTAACTGCCTATAATATAGCCTTTGCACTGCCTTGAGTGGATAGTTTTGGATGGGGAGGGAGTGGCCCCAGTGGATGAAACTGACAGGGTGTATCCATGCTAGAATCGACTTTGGAATTGAATGGATCAAAGACACAAAAGAGTACAACTGTATGATTCTGTTATATAAAGTCCAAAAACAATTAAAAATAATGCTTGCTGTTAGAGTATGAGAATTTCGAGGGAAGAAGGTGGAGCCCAAGAGAAGGTATGAGGGTGATGCTCTGCCCCAGGCCCCAGTAGGTGGGATTATGGGCACATCTGCTTAGTCAGGAGTACACTGTGCTGTCTGCTTGTGTCTGTAGGTCATCTACTTCAGTTTTTAAGAAATTTATTTCAAAAAAATATTAATCCAAAACAGTCACCACAACAAAAAGTGCCTGATATAGAAATGCAAATGCTTAGACCTGCCTTTAACAATGCTTTTTTGTTGAGATAGAGGAGAGAACAAACAGACCATCAAACTCCTGTTTTTCTAAGTGCACAGGAGGATGATTGTTATGATGGGGTCCAGTGGGGTGGAGAAGAGAGGGCACCTATGTCCACAGGGGACCTTACACCCAGAAGGTGGTTTCCAAACCTGGACTCCAGGATGGCTGGGAGACCTTGGGCAGTTGACCCCTGGGTGGGGAAGTTGTCGTCATTCATGAAACCTGTATTTATGGAGCCTGCCCACCATGTGTCAGCCTCCGTCCTGGAGGTCATAACGGACAGATGCCTGTTCTTGCGGAGTTTATATGTCCTGCACAGGCTCGGGAACTGTGTGGCTGTGGTGTCTCAGAATGGAGGGTAGTGTCGGGTTGCTGGAATGAAGTTCAAAAGCGAGGTAGATGATGAGGCTAAGTGACTGGTTGGGACCACGTGTGGTGGCCTCCATTGGCCATGCCCAGGAACTGAGCACCTTGGCTGAGCCATCATGAACTGCTTCTGAAGATTTGAGCAGGGGCATGCTGTGGTCCCCTGCAGGGCTGGAAAGGAGTTGGTTTGGTGGAGGGCCAGGAAAGCAGCACACGCCTGTCCAGATGGGATGGGGAGGCCTGAAGCTGGCAGGTAGAGTGGAGAGATGGTAGACAGAATTAGAGGAGAGGAAGGAGTGTCAACTGGTTTCCTTTGGGGATGACGTGGCATTCACCAGGATGCTTTTCTCTCGTGCCCAGATTAACCATTCCCTGCCCCTTCCACTTGTGGGGCACAACAGATGGTGCATTTTTTCTCTCTGCTTTTGTCAAATTTCCACTCAGAGGACCTGTGGATGGGGCCCTGAGGGTACCATTGCTGCACTGGGAAGGAA